GTCACTCGAAAAGCATGTAGCAGACCCTCTGTCTGTTTAAATTCCAGCTTTGAACAGTTGCCTACACGGGTTGGGACGAATGCAGTAGCTCTGGGCACTTCTTATATCTGATGAATTTGAAAAATATTAAATAACCTATTTCGTGTCTACAAAATCACGCTCATGAAATCTAAATGCCGTGGGCCACTATTCCTAGGATAGTCCTGCCTTCATTCGGGTGTTCGGTCTCTTTATCTGCTATTATCGGTCGAAGTCTAAGTGGGAAACGTGTCTTGGGTCCCTTGCCAAAATTTCGAAGAACTATTAGCTTGTCCTTGCTTTTACTATCTAGCCTCAAGCGTTGAAGTTAGGAAAATATGATCGGAGTTCATATCATCATTAATCAAGACCGGACGGGAATCAAGCCCTTGTTTGTGTACACCTGTAAGTCCACGTGAAATCCGTTTAACACGAGGAATAAACAGGATATTCTTGTGAGATTTCTTGGCCACTGGAAACCACAACTTCACAGTGGTTTTGGCAGCATAGCCACAACTGAAATTCTCCGTTATACACTTTGAAATGCGTGAAATGAGGTAGCAGACCAATTGGTTTACCTGGGTAGCTGTATCAGTCCCGGTGGTCTCGCGAAAGATGGTGGTTTCACCCGGATTGGGAAGGCCAGAGCAGCTTATTTGAACCTGCGTCACCTGTGTCGTAGGCGTGACATCAGCTTATCCGTCAAGGTTTGAGTTTACAGTGCTGCGGTGCACTCTATCTTACTATATGGATCAAAAGCCTGGCCGCTGCACGGCGAGGATGTCATTTTCTGACGATTGCTCTCTTCGGAGCATCGCGCGAATCTGGTGGGAACACTGGATCAGCAATGCTGAAGTTAGTCGAATGGTATTCGGGAGAACTAACTCACTCTCGATAGATGAACTGAACACAGTGCATCAGTTGCGCTGTTTTGGTCACGTGCTGCGCATGCCAGTCAACTGACTTCCTCAAAGGGCTCCTTTCGCACAACCACATGAAGGATGGAAGAGAGCCAGAGGCGGTCAAACAATGACTTGGCAGTGGAGTATAGAATCAATTACCACCAAACTCAGCTGCGCTGGTCATTGCCGTCTTCCTGGATGGAAACCCCGAGACGGGCCACATAAATGGTGGAGTCATTGTGAGACATGGCCCAGTTGCGCCGTCAAAGGTGCTCATGTACCCAAGCTATTGCCTTCAATGCATGGCTCCTTTCCCAAACGCCTCTTTTAAGAGTCCCCTTACAGTTCTGCATTTACGCACTAATTTATGAGCTCCAACCTCCAATGAGCAGCTACCAACCCCACTTCCCCGAATCATCGGTGAATGAAACTGTGGCAGCTACAACCACTGTACGACAAGCACGCGGTTTTACAGCTGACAATGACGATGATGATATTGCCATTTTTACTCTTGTATTCAGCTTCTTTCGAAGAATTGATGGCAACTTTTGTGTTCCGTCAATCTGTAACTCTTAGTCGGCAACGGTTGTACAAGTAGGTGAGATTTTTCGGTGACCCACTTGGCAGTAAGCTGAATGAAGTGAAATCTATATGTTAAATGTTGGACGCTTTTGTGACTTCCTGTAATCACAGGCATTAAAGAAAACAACACAATATGGGACTAAATGAGTAGATGGCTTTGTGGGAGACTTCACAGGTTGCTGCATAAATCCAATACAGCTTGAAAAAAAGCATGAGGGCTGCAATATCGCTGAGCTTCTTAAGCCTGGATAAGACTACCCGCCAATTCAGGGCTGAATAGATGAGTCCTACTACCTCGTGTTCTCGCAAATTAATTTCCAAACAAGCCTAGGAAGTTTAGTAAATCCGTTTGTTTTTTTGTATGTTGGTGCATATCCCTGTGGGTCTTTTGGAATGAAACGTTTATGATAGCAATCAATTTTTGTTTTGAATTAAGTTATATACTTACAGCATTCGAATTAAGGCAACTTAGTGAATTTTCCACAGTATCCTCTTATTTTGAGGTCCAACTAAACAAACTTCATGGAACTGGTCTAAAAAGACAATGAAATTTTAAACCCAGTTGAATGCAGTGTGTGTGAAAACTGTCTCTAGTTTTGATCACAACCATTATAGGTTGAACTAAGAATGAGTACTAAGTACTTATAGGCCATGCCTCTTAACAGCTTAAACTGAACAACAGAATATAGGCGCAAAAATTTCGCCATTCCATGTAATGGCAACTGCAGTTCACTTAGAAAAAACTAAACATAATGCATGGGCGTTCAGTAGGAAGATGGTCATCTTAATTACGAACAAGTGCACCATCTGATTAATTTCCAAAGCGAAAAGTTTGGAATTTTGTCCATAGCATCCCTGTGGTCATTAGTGTGTCGACATTTGTTGAAAAACTGACTACCAGTGTGTAATAAATTAGTCCAACTTCTCACAATCTTCACGGAGGAGCCAGTGGTTACTGAGCCAAAAAGCGTAGTGCTTTGGAAGTAATAAATACAAAGCAGAAGTATTCCGGTTTCAATTACAGATCTGACCATGTCTCGGTGATTAGATATCTTGTTTCTGGAGTTGAAAACAATGATATCCCCCTCACACATAGGCTGAAGGAATTTCCAATCAAAATTACTGTAAGCGATTAGTGATTAGCTTCTCAAACAAAACAGTTAGCATGTAATAGCACGAGACTTTTTTCCAAGGGGATTCGATAATTCGTGCTTGCTCACGTATGCTGCTCCACTCCATTGCCCTATAGCTGTTGTCATCTTCTGCGACAGGATGCGTCCCCCTCAACAGTGTCGGGAATTGATGCTCCTGGGTGCGATAACTATTTATACCTCTTTTAGCCGACGCTTTCTTCTATTAATCCGATTCCAAGTTAATTTCTGTTTTAAGGACACTGACTCCAGTTAAATCGCAGACAATTACTTCAAACAACAGCGTACACTCATCAATCCAATGGTAATAACTAGTACAACTGTTTTTTGTGGATATAAGCTACCCGGTCAACAAGACTCAGTTATTTACTACCATTTATCGGGTTCCAAACAAAAGACCGCAAATGGTTCGGCGGTTGGCACTGCACACAATCAAACTGGCCTCTATCAAAATGCTGGGTCTAACTGTGAGTGCACGAGAGCGATCTATCCGACTAAACTGATCGTCAATCGACCAGCCACTCGTGTCAGATGAATATTAGCCACTTTTCAGAGGTTTCAGTGCTGGATCTGGAAAGGGAGTAGCACGAAATGGGACCCACTTATATCTTCCTGACGCAGGAGGAGCAGACTGAGAGAGTGAATTCAGAATTCGGAGTTGATGGAATCTATGAAGACTCCTCAAAGATCTCTGAATGTGTTCACCAGCTACTTCTTTTAAACAAACTCCATAAAAATGAAGTATTATCCTTTAATAGTCCGGAAAGCCAAATCGAAGCGTGATGCTATTATCGAGTAGAAAATCCCGCTGCGATCTGAGTTTTCTATGGGCCAGGACTCAGCCACGATCCACTTGCTTTGTTGCTCGTCAAACTCAATAATGTTACAGACTCCGTCCCACTCCGAACACGGAACTATGAGAAACAAGCCCCATGACAGCGTCCCAATAGGAAGTATCCTCATCCTTTGGGTGCATATAAATCACTACAATGACAAAATATCACCATTAGATACTTCACGAGCCTGTGGACGGATTTTACAATAACCATCTCCCACATTCATCCTCACTTGGGAACGCAAGGTAACCTGGAGTGCCTGGCAAAATTCCACCAGCGGAACCTCAAGTAAGCAGAGGCGTATCACTAAATAGTTTTCAGGTTCCAAAGTTCTCCAGAGAAGGGGTCGAAAATATTTTCCGGTTACATTACAATCTATAAGACAAATTGTAGGATAAACCAAGTTTTATGGAACACTCTCATGGCAAATGACCACACTGTAAAAAGAAAATGTAATAAGGAAACCTCTCTGTTCCATCAGTAACACAGTAAAGGACATCGCTCGGACGACGGAGTGGAATATGAGTCCAAAAAACACTGCGCTCATTTTCAGCAAACAGGATCCTGATGCACACACTGTTGCGCGTCGTGAGTGACCAAAACCTGGTTACTAGGTCCCAACTTTTTAGCCTAGTATTCCTCAAAACCAATAACATGACTGTGTACACGAGGTGAACGTGCTACTAACACTACGCTTCTCACATCGAACGCTGCTCCCCGACATGCGCAGTTAGAGGTCACGTTCTCCTGCTAGATGAGGCCCGGCATTTAATTCACCAAACTCGTGATCACAACACTACTATAGCTAGAACATAGGATGAGTTTAGGAAAAAAGCATCATGTCAAATAGGATCTCTGATAAGACTTATCATTCCCGAAATTTCAGACACGGCCAGACTTATCGTCTACTGAAACCAAACTGGCCACAGATCAGATGTTTTCAGTGTATGGGCTGCAAGAAAACCTAGTGAGACCTATCCTGAATGCTTCTATAGATCTGGCACACTACATGCCCGGAAGAGCGTAGTCACCGTTAATGACCGTACCCCATGGGAATATTCCCGTTTTTGACGTCTTGATCAAGCATTTCTTCTTTGTAGTCTGCTGAAGATAAAGTGCACACTATCAACAGTGTACACAATATCTCGTTGGTCAGGGTTATCCGATGTTAAAATCGAGGGCACCCGCAAATGCGGTGTATAAAATATTCTTCTAAGACCCTTCCCCCCCCCCAAAAAAAAAAAAAACAAGCATGACATGCCGTTTGGAGCCGCTGTTCTGCATCAGTACTGAGAGCATATTAAAACGCCGACTGACAATCGGAGCTGTTTAAAAAGCTAGTGATACCACTCGGGTCAAAATGGCTAACTTGAACTACGTCAACCTCCACAGATACACAAGGAGGCACAAATCAGGCTACTCTATTCTAACAGGCACGTTCTCTTCGTTTTAGATAAAATATGGACCAGACCATATAAGGCGGATAGAAGTGAAACCCGACAGGAGAAATAATGGTGCAAGCCACGGATGAAACTTTGTATCAGCAAGGGCAAGGCTTCAACAAATCAAAGGAACATAGTTTGGGAAGATATTATTCTGACCCAAATCAAGATGATTACTTTATCATCGGTCCAACTGATAAATTCGCACCATCTATCGCTTACCGAAACCGCCTTAAGTACAGACGACGAAGTGCATCACTTAGACGTCAAGACAGTCCCGGCAATCCGCCGAATCAACAAATTCCAGGGAATTATCTAAAGAAACTTAAAATCGACCGCGGAAACCAGAAAAGACATCACAAGAGAGAGAACATACAAACAGAAGGTCCACGCAAACTGCTAGAGGAGGAAATCAGGCGAATACGTGCCGAACTTGAGCAAAGAAAACACCGTCTGAAAAATGTAGAAACTACTTCACAACCCCTTCCACAAAATAGTCAGCCACACGAATCGGGTGAACTCAAGCTAAAGCTGGGAGACAGCCCAGTGGTAACTGGGTCACACAAAACTCCACAGGCACCCAGGGCGGTGAGGAAAAAGGGAACGCTTGAGTATATAGTAGCTCCTAACATAGAAAATAAAAGACGACGGAAATCATACAGTCCACTTGCGCAACCTCGTCTAACTGAATACCAGCGAGCGTATAAAGCTCCGGAACTTACTCCTATCCCACAGCGGCCACGGACTGCACAATCAGAATTCCCAACCACCTTCAAGGCCAGTAGTCACCACGGACAAATAGATATATTCGAAACTGAATATGCACGTGAGTACAAGCCATTCAGATACGTACCAATAGATAAACTCAATGCGACCACCTTTATCCGAGATCCGAACGTTAATATTGTACCAATACCCAGACCCAAATCCGCCTACACACTCGTGAGGTCACAGCAAATAAAAGATACGGAAAATGGTTACCCGAGAAGCAGACAGGAAACATCATCTCAACCAGACTTATCTAAAAAGACTAGGTCACATGAAAGCCGATACACTTCAGAATACGGTGCCAAATACCACAACTATTTTGGATTGCAGCCTAATTCTAATGGGTCAACTGAATGGATGAGGGTGTTGGAAGGAATACGTAACCAGGCAGATTTATATCGAAAACGTGACCTAGAATCGCATTTCACGCGTGACCACTTGGCCCAATTGGCATCCGCTTTTGTGGACTATTGGGATCAACCAAGCAGCGACCGATATGCCCGGAATCGCGAGAAATCCCTAACAACACTAGCACAGCCTCCTGCGGGAAAGCCGTCAGAACTATGCAGTGAAGAAAATGAAGAATGCGAGGCACATAGCACGATCTCGGCGCGCCGACGGGCTATGATGGATAGTCATCATGTAGCGGAACTTCTTCATGAATACCAAGTTTATGATCCCAAATCATATTCAAGTGAAGTGAAGCCGGAAAGCACACACTCAAAAGGTGAAAAAAATAATCAGAGGCAACTTGTCAGACAGAATGATGCACAAGCGCTCTCCACACACTTTGAAAACCAACTCTCTTCAACTTCTCCGGATATAGAGATGGAAAAGCACGGTACGGCTGGCCAACTGAGCAATATCCACAGAACTTCCCAGCAAGGCAACAGTCTGAGCCCAGTCTCCACTAAATCCATTATGTCCAGTGCTACACCGATTTCAGAACCAACAAATTATACCAACGAACAAAGAAACCATGCGGTCAATGATAACAGTCATCAGAGGAGATGCACACTCCCTTCCGGCGATTACCTATGTCATCCATACGCAGAAAATCATGAATACCGAAGCTGGGACTACATCTGACGTAATCGGCTCTTTTTGATGGACAGTAATCGTGACGCACCATCATATTAACTAGGATTTTATTACTTCATTTTGTAAGCTGAAGAAACCAACAAAATGAGTGTTTACTTGTGTTTTTTTACATCCGGTCTGTGGGAACCCATGTGGACAGCATAAACGGAGGGAGTCCGCATTAGCGAAAAAAGCCTTCAAATGGGGTTACAATATAACAATACTCCACATCAAGAAAAGAGTACGGGAAAAGGCTCCGACAACGGGGAAAAGGAAAACCGGTAGGATTAGGTACGGCTTGGGGCTGTTTATACTGCAGGAGGTATGATAAGGAATCAAAGGCAAGTGAAAAATCAAACAGGCCGCTGGTAATAATGCTGAAAAAGACTAGATAAAAGCACACGAATTTACATGGTAAAACAAGGTCGGTACATGGAAAGTCATTAGGTAGCTCGTGTTATAGCTCGCGTTGGGGCTGTTTCATAGCGATCAGGTGGCCGTGCTCATTGCGACTTAGGATCAATGCATACAGAATAATTTCCGCCACAAACGCTTATCTATTTTCGAATCGTCTACGGTGGCCTTGGGTTGATGAAATCCTGGAGGATTATGGGATGCGTTGTGAAGCGAACTGGTTGTGGATTTTCGGGAAGAACCTGGTGAAACCACCGAGCCATTTTTTGTTTCACGGAAGCTTGGCATTTGATTACATTGTGCAGGGCCTCCAAGTTCCGCTACTCGTAGTCCACACCAGATTGCTAGGTCAAAAACCGTCTTCAGGTTTTTCTGTGTCAAAGCGGAACACTCAATGTAAGCCTCAGCCCCAAGCTGTGACGCCAGCTGTTCGGCTGTCTTCTTGTCAACCGGTTCCTCACCCTGTTTCGACAATTCTAGCAACTGGCCGATATCATTTCTAAGGTCACAGGCGCAACCAACGAGAAGGAATGCAGGACCAGGAATCCTGTGGGCTTCAGGCCTTATCCCACGAGTTGGGCCACACGATCGGGATCTAACTGCGGATAAGTGTTTCGTAAGCTCTTTTGAGCGAACTTTACGTTCACTTGGTGGAACCGTCGACGACCGCGTGGCTACTAATCTCTCAGCAGCCGGGTTGAACACGAGGTGGGCGTTGGAAAGTTCATCTAACCATTTGTCCCGCAGGGATCGGAACGACGAAGGTTTGACGACAGAAAAGCAAAGTAGCAGCACGTGAACACCGGGGTAGGAAAATTGCCGGAGAGAAGCGACTTCGTTCTAGAAAGTCAGAGCAGATAGAAGTAGATGAGGAAGCTTAGTAGCAAAGGTAAGAGGGTGCAACAAACTGACTCCCTCAAGTTGAATAGAGAACTTGTGAGATGTCATCCAACTTCAGTTCAGCAGAAGCGCGTATTGCAGTAGCAAGGCAATCACACTGATGAAATATACTACATGTATCCGTGTCTAAAGGACACGGTCGCATTTGAATGAAGATGGTTAGTCTTCTACATGTTATAATGCGGCACATTTACCGAAACTCAGAACCCAAACTTCCACGTTACAAACAGCCTGCTGACCGTAAAGCTACTAGATTATCTCGTCGGCCGTCGCCAGTAACGGATACAAGTGGTTGCTGTTTCTCATATGTATTGGTCAATCACCAGTGGGTCCTATCGTTTACCACCTAATAGGACACGACATTTCGGTTGCGAGATGGGCCAAGTAATGAGAGCGCCAATTTACTGACGGGAAGGTGCGTGGTTCGAATCCGACTTCTGCCACTCGACTTCCCCTATCTAGGCTTGGGCAACCTGGCAGTATCCCGGCCCTCGTGCCTCCTTCGTGTGGCATGGCAGCTAAACACTGAAAGGGTGCTACAGCTGGAAGATTTTTTATATTTTTATATTTGCATGATCTTCCTAACAGCTTCCATTATCAGCACCTGTGGTACTTGCCCATACTACACTTCATATAGGTGGCGGAGTAAAGCTAATCACATGAGTAGAAAGTGAGTGACATTACCGGCTTCCCTGACATCTTATCCATCTTCTACGGAGCGAAAGCTAGCTTAGCTTAAGCAAGTTGTTTTTAGTTACCTACGAATCATTCATCGATTATCTTTTACGTGAGTAGGAATCACGTACCACCAATTAAGTGAATCTAAGCTGATCCGAGCCGCAGCGAGTCCATGGACCAAAGCATGGAAACGAAATTCTATCCTTATTCGTTTTGGTTTGCAGATGCAATGATGCATCGAAATAGTAGCAGAACAAAACATTTTAGCACTTGACTTGAAAGTATCATGCAGAGTGTATCAGGTTTATGCTTTGTAAAACATCGAATATCAGGTTATTTCAAAGCCTTAAATGGCTAAATAATTCTTTACCAGTTGCTGATATTCACCTGTTTCAGGCAGACAATCTACCGATCTACAAGTGGCATATTCTAGCAGGTAAAAAACTTGGAGGAAGTAAAGACAACCAAACAAAAGCATCCGTTGTTTACCACCCAATTGATAATCGGACTACATCTACTCAACTATAGAAAAACAGGCTAACTTCCTTGCCAAGACAGGGTAATAACATCACTTCAAGACTAACAAATAAGTTCACTTATAACAAAAAGGTAAAACCACTCGGACACTTCAAAATAGGACAAATACTAGGTTGTCGGCAACTCAGGACATCCTGAAGCAGTTTTGGGATTCCGACTGTGTATCAGCACACATAAAGAAAATAAGTTTGCGTAGTAACCGCTTTGTTTAATGAACTGTCACGAAAAAAAAAGCAGTTTGGTAGCGAGAAGTACTGGATACTTGGTTCCCACTGCTTGCTTCCATGAAAGAAATAGGGATCTGGAATGAAATCAAACAAAACAGATTTCCCCGAAAAGGAATTTTCCTGGTTCACGAGTAATCCGGTTTGACAAAAGTTAGATATTTGACCAATATTCCTTTAGCAGATAGGAGCCTTTTCCCAGGAGAAGCCAATACGCTCCGGTCTCGAAAGTGAACGCAGACTGTGGTGGTTGTGTTCTTAGTGCTAAATCATCACCCATCGCAACCGGTCCGTTTTCAGGCTCAATTCTAGATGACAGATGAACAGAGGTCCAGTGGAAGAGTGACAAAAGCACAATATTCGTCCGTGAATCGACTCCCAGTGTGACTTTCGCCTAATCCCTGTTGTTGCTGGTTGAATAGTCTGCAATACGTGGATATCAGTAACTGACTGTTATGAAAGTAGGGAGACGTTGAAGTGCCGTAAGAAGGTTTCTCCACATCCGTCTTTCGTTCTTTCTGTGATAAGACTGTTCGTGCGTATAAAGTTAATTAAGTTGACATGTCATTGTTTACAAAAGTGATATGGGACCTTTGGGTCTTTCTCTACTTGGTAATCATAAAAAGCGTTCCGACTACGCATCTAGAAAAGGACTGTGAAAAAAACTATACAGCAAAACCTGAATACATCAAGTTGCGTCAAAATGACCGGACAACTGATTGGCTGAACGACGGGGCAATCGCTGTGTAATTACTTGCAACTAGTAAAGACGTTTACTCATACAGTACACTAAGGATTAAAGTGAGGTGCAATATAACTACACAGTTGTAGCTTCCTCTTTCACGAATACAATCAGGAGACTAGTTACAAGAAGATACCCACTTAGTACAACGAGAGAGTCGTGGAAAATATTCATGTTCCAAAAAAAACCCTAACATGTAATCACGGTTGTCAATGGGGGAAAACTGAAAGTGAGAAACGAAATCAACCATGCAAGAACCAAGGAACTGTGTTCCAGGATGACAGGATTTGAATGTTGATAAATCCCACAAACCTGTGTTGGTTCTGAGCGCAGTTGGCCATGTAACCATGGTGTGGATGTTTTCAGAGTAAAATGGGGTGGCAGCCGAAAATTCGTCCACACTTTATCGGACAAAAAACTGTGTATCAGAGAGTAGGTTTCAACCCACTCGACCCACATGCCTTAGGTGACAGCATATGTTTCACTGAGATCGATTAGGTGCCATGTCCTGTGATGTTTTCGACCACGTGCAAAAAGAATCCTATGGGCCCCGCCTACGGAGAGTGAAATCTTGTAGTCCTGTTTGACTGTGGTCGCTTTTATTTTCTCTCGCCACGTCATAACCTGTCCTCCCTTCACCAACTAGGGTAAGGGGTGGAACGCAACATTTTCACGAGCAGGCAGTGGTTGCACACTTCCAGTGCCTGTCCTAATCGCCATAAACGTAGACCTCTGGGCCTTACGTGCTACTTTAGCGATTCTGATGCTTTAGCTCTTTATTGTGTACATGCAGCAGCCAGCTACCGCCTGCTATACTATGGAGGCATATGTGATTTAGAACTTGTTTCAGATAATCGGATAGGGGAGAAGACAACCTTTGCAACCACAAGTTCGACCGCCTTTACATTTGCATTATGCCTTCGACGGAATTCAATTCTGACGCCAAAAATGATGCCTCGAAAACGTGCACAATGACTTTATTTGCCACAGTACGATCACAGATTATGCAGCTGTCAAGATACAGGAATCGACGAACAAACGTAAGTTCGTCATTCTGAAGTATCCAACAGGCCCACGAACGATGCGGAACTTCAAAAAAATGCACTTAGGAAGTGCAAAACGTAAGCCGAAACATGCAACCAGTTTCTATAATCTATTTGGAATAATTTATACAGACAAGTCATCGTCAAACAACAGGGGACGTTGTTCTCACAATCTGCTCTGCTACTCCTCTCCGATACTCATATTCACGATTTCATGTGGTGTGCCCTACATAATAAATTCGACGATAAAATGAAAAATAAAGAGGACGACCTTGTTACGAAACTCGATTTATAGTGCACTCTAAACCGACTAGAATGGGCGCAAACCTCGTTCACAAAACCCAAGGGTATGTAAAAGCAGAAGAGGCAAACTATCCAAAAACTTCTCTGAAATCTAAGAAAGAAGTTTTAGTCGCCCTCATGTGCGGTGGTGCAAATATGCGGTTCATCCGGCCTTTACCTAGTCGCAACCCTGCTTGACACCTCGGATTTGCGCTTCACGTGTCCAAGTTAGAAGTGGTAATATTGAGGTCATTTTAGTGTCACGATAGCAAAGTTGCCATCTGTCGAGATGGAATCAGGGTAACATTGCTGTACACCTTTTCGTGGGTCGTAAGCAGCTCGTTCAGTAATCATGACACCGAATGAACGCACTGCAGAGACGCACAGAAATGAATCTTCAACTTAGACTTCGCCAAGTGAATGACTAAGCTCACTACCTTTAAATGCCTTCCAGGATGGGGACCGTGCGATCCTCACTGTGCCTGGTTGGAGACACTACAAGACATGGCTGCCAACCGATGTCAGTGGCATTCTTGTTGTCAGTTTCTATCCAGAATGCCTGAGTGAATGTCTGGAGGTGTCGGCACCCCGGAACGATTGTGGTAAGCTAGCACTAAGTCCCTCCCCTGTCCACCTTTACTCTTTTCTTTACCATAAGGCTTTCAAATAAATCATGGTTGTACGGCAGTGAAGCATCGGTGTTGAACACTGATGTCATGCTGTCGGTGATGATGATGATGATAATGATGACTACTTTTAAATCGATTAGTGTGTCCAGTTGGCCGAATGCGAGAGATGAGCTGAGCCTCACTGTCACCAGAATGTGGCTACAGGCTGGATACAGACGGAATGGTCGGTCAAGAAACACGTGACTTTTGATATCACAGTGAAGGGCGCACACGCGAGCAATTGCATAACAATTTATGCAGTCCCGTCGATCAACGGGTGTCAGTGACAAAGCCGGATTGGAGGGTCTGGCAGCCNCCACTAGGTAATCAACAAGAGCGGTTCAAGTCTAATTATGTCCGTGCGCTGAGAACACTACACAGCAATTTATCTTACCTGGATTTTTTTAAAGGACTTGCAAGCTCTTTCACAGTAACTGTCGACAATCAGCATTGGTAGATGTTCTGTGAAACTCAGCCTCAAGCAGGAGTTAAAACTTACAAGGAATGTGCCAAGAGGGAAGACAGGACCCATAATTCTATTTTATCACTTGGCTTAAGTAGGTAGGAGATATTCCAGGAAGCTCCGAATAAAGCAGATGGTACTTGGTTCAGCGTTGCGAAATTCGGTAAGTGGTCTAAAGATCAGTCAACGCAATCTCGATTTCAAAGATATTTCTGGATGGTTTCCGCAGTTACGCCTCAGCAATGGGGGTATGTCACAAACAAACTGTGCTACGTTCTTTTAAAAAAGGGTATCGGCTGTTTT